AAGAAGCTGCAGGGCTATGCTGCTATGCAGCTTAGAGGGAACACTGCTGTCATGGCTGTTCCCCACTCTGGCACTTCAAGTGCAGAAGGTGGAGGCCTGTAATAGATGTTAAAATACCCTGCCACTAAAGGCTTCTGCTTCAAAAACCTGTCACAGACTCCCTGACCGAGGATGGTACGCTGTCCCCACCCAAATGCAAAAACCTCCTTGAGAGTCCAAGAAAACGGATTTGGAAATTTCTTCCTGCGGGGCAATGCCAAGGTCTTTAACCCTTCCTCAAGAGAGAGCTTTTTTGTAACTGTAATTTCTTAATAGCTGAACTTCAGTTTCAGGCACATGTACACAGGACCTTCCTGCCTTCTAAGACATAGAAATAAGATCAGAGTCTTAAAAACCATGATTTTATTAACAAAACAAAGGAGATATATTTGGTAAAGCATACTCGGTAGGTTAGGTATTACAGAACAACAGATTAAAAGCACAGAGAATTGCTTCCCTAGGATTCAGTTTAAAGGTTCAGTATATGGGGGTATGTCTACACTACAGCGCTAATTCGAACTAAGCTAATTCGAACTAGCGCGTCTAGAACTAAAAACTAGTTCGAATTAGTGTTTTGCTAATTCGAACTAGCGCGTCCACACTGATTGGACGCAGGGGGGCATTTAAGGGCAGCTGAAACAGGTTCTGGCAGGGCATCAGGTCAGTAGTTGCGTTGTGTGGCTGCTGTCTGAGGCTATCTGAGGCTCGAGCTTAAAGGGACCCCCCCGGACAGCCGGTTCTCAGCTTTTCCTGCTTCCTTGCCAACCTCGCCGAGGGACAGGAAAGCATTGGTCTCTGTGCCCGTCTGTGTCGGTGCTTCCCTTCGGGGGGGCCGCCGTAGGTGGCAACATGGAGCCACAGGTCGCCCTGCACCTTCTGGTGCACTTTCTGGACTTGCTGCTGCAAGCCTGCCAGCAATGGCTCGAGGCTGCCTGGCACCACCTGGTGCACGTCAGCCCCCTGCCTCTCCGCCTGGCCGTCCTGGGGGCCGTGGAGAAGCCGCGGCAGCGCCCCGGCACAGGCGTGCCCCGCAGCGTCTTGGCGTCTGGACACCAGCAGCGACTGGTGGGACCGCATCGTCCTGGAGCGCTGGGAAGACCGACAGTGGACCCAGAACTTCAGGAGGAGGAGGGACACCTTCCTGGAGCTCTGCGAGTGTCTCGCCCCTGCCCTGCGCAGAAGGGACACTTGCATGAGGCCCGCCATCCCCCTCCAGAAGCGGGTGGCCATCGCCCTCTGGAAGCTCTCTACGCCG